AAGCCACCTGGTGGCCCGCCTTTTTTCTAATATGTACATTGAGTGTTCCTATTTTTCTTGTTAACACTACTTTTGTTGTATCCCACATGTTTTCATAAGTTGTATTTTTATCTTCATTTTGTTCTTACATTTTTAAGTTTTTCTTGAGATTTCTTCTTGACCTTTGTGTTATTTAGGAATATGTTAATCTCCTGTATTTTAGAACTTTCTGCCTGTCTTTAGTGTTTTTTTTTTCATTTTTTAAAATTTATTTGCATTCATTCACTGTACATCATTACAACTGTCTTTAGTGTTTTAAAGTTTAATTCCATTTTGGTCTAAGAGCAGATATTGTACAATTCGTTTTCCTTTAAAATTTTTAAAGCATGTTTATGTCCTAGAATGTGGTCTGTCTTATTCAATGTTCCATGTGAACTTGAGAAGAATTTGTATTATGCTGTTTTTGTGTAAAGTAGTCCATAAATGTTGATTATATCCAGTTGATTAATTGGATTATTGAGTTCAACTATATCCTGACTCATTTTCTGCCTACTGGATCTGTTCATTTTTAATAGATTAATAGAGAGATGTTGGAGTCTTCAACTGTAATAGTGGATCATCTATTCCTCCTTGCAGTCCTATCAGTTTTTGTTTATTTATTTATTTATTTTTAGAGTTTTGACATAGGACCCATGAGTTCATTAGAGAGAAGGGGAAAGTAAGAAATTACCTTTGGGGATGGCCATGCCACAGTTCTTTTTCCTCCAGTCTCCTCTCAGGATTTTGGACACACATGTATATGTACCTGCCTTGATTTTCAAGCCACTGGGTCTTTGTTTGGATGTTTTTAACCATGGTCAGCCATGTAGGAGTCCAGTGTCTTAGGCATCATGCCACTTGCTGGCCCCTCTGCTTCACATATTTTGGTGCTCTGTTGTTAGATGCATAAATACGAAGGATTGTTAGGTCTTCTTGGAGAATTGACCCCTGTATCATTATGCAGTGTCTACCTCTGATAACTTTTTTTCTCTGTTGTCTGTCCTGCCTTCAATTATTGGGTGGTCAGAAAAGTCATGATATATTTTTTTTCTATGTTTTTCTGTGCAAAAATGTGTCATGACTTTTATTACAACCTAATAAGATAGCTACCCCTGCTCTCTTCTGTTTAGTGATAGCCTGGCATATTTTTCTCCATCTTTTCACTTTTATGTGTTTGTTCTTTATATTTAAAGGGATTTCTTGTAGACAATATATAGTTGAGTCCCATGTTTTGATTCACTTTGACAATGTTAGTTCTGGCATTTTATAATCCTATATGAGGTCTCAGTCCTTTAATGAACTTGTGCCCCTGGACTTTGAACTAGTGCATCACAACTTCCAAATCTGCGCTCATTAGGTGACATTCTATATGAAAGGCTAGAGCCAGTTGGAGTTGGGCATTTCTTTTTCAGTCTATTAAACTCTGATAAAATCCTGGCAGCTTAGACTCTGATTAATTATTGGATAATCGAGAAAGTCATGATGTATTTTTGCATAGAAAAGCAGGTCATGATTTTCCTGATGACCTAATAGTTTCTCCTGATGGTAGGCCTTATTAAAAATAGAATACTGTGACTTATTTGAACATGGTTTATTCTCCCCTCCCCTGCCAGAAACAGGGTGTTTTTGCTGATATTCATTGTGAGAATTTGGTAAAACTCCTGGTAGTAAATACCATAAAAGTATGCTTCCTCCCCCATAAGTAGGTCTCCTGTAATTTTTGTTTTGATTTTTCTGTTTTTGCTATAGGGCATGTATGCTTACGAGAGAGAGAGAGAGACAGAGAGAGAGAGAGAAAGTGAGACATCCCCCCCACCTCCCTCCAAGGAAGGATGGTCACTCTTCAATCCTTTTTCCTTCACTCTCCTCTCAGGATTTTAGGAATGCATGCACATGAGCCCAGAGTGATTCTCAAACTTACAGGTCCAATTCTGGAATCACAAAACTGGCCATGTGGAATCCAGCACCTTGACCTCCATACTACCTACTGCTCTCTTCTACCCTGGAAATTAATCTTCAGCTTATATATTGAGCCTCCAGCAATTTGTTTATTAAAATTTAGGTTTTCATATCTTATCACTGGTTCCTAGCAGAAGATCGTGGCCTCTGTCTCCCCCAGGCTGCTTGGTCCAGGACTCCAAATTCATAGTTGGCCATGTAGGATTCAGCCACCTCAACCTTCATGGTACCAACTGGCCCAAGTTGTTGATTTTTTAGTCTGTTGAGACTTTTAGCTAAAATGGAGTGGTGACATCCAAGTTCCTTTCATGCCAGACTAAAAACTGAAGGTCTTAAATTTATTTTAACAGGATTCTTCTGGCTGCTGTGCTGAGAATAGTCTGTGGGGGGAAGAGGGAAAGGCAGAAGAGTCTGTTATGAAAATTTAGGTAAGAAATGTGCTGTATTGGGCTAGAGAATGGTAGTTGAAAAAATAAGTACTTGTACTGTAGATGTTTGGATAGCATAGAGCCATCAAGATTTACTGACACTTAGTAATGGTAGGGGTCTAGCTGGTGGCATGGTGGTTAAGGTGGCTGAGTCCCACATGACTGACTGTGCAGTTGAAGTCCTAGACCTGGCAGCTTGGAAAACATGCCAATGTGTGTGCCTAAAATCCCCAAATTAGGGAGAAATGGATGAGAAGGGATTGCTGTGTGCTCATTCTCCAATGGGGGGGAGGAGGGGGTTCACTTTCTCTCTCTCTTGCTCTCTCATGAATGCATGTGCCTTCTGAAAAAATTAAAAACCATAGTAGGATGTAAGAGGAAAAGAAGTATCAAAGTTGACTCCATGGTGTTTAACTTGAGCAACTTAGAAGAATGGACTTACCTTTAATTGAGACGAGTAAGGGGACAAGCAGTTGATGTGGTGGTTAGGTTGCTGGACTTCCACATGGTTGACCACAGTTCGAGTCCCAGACCTGGTAGTTTGAGAATCACGCCAGGCTCTTGTGCATGTGTGTTCAAAATCCCAGGAGGAGAATGGAGGAGAAGCATGCCCATCCCCATTGGCGGGGGAGGTTCCTCATTTTGTTTCTTGCTGGCTCTCTCCAGCAAGTGCATGTACTCTATGGCAAAAACTTTTTAAAAAAAAATTCAGATGAGTTAGACTGTAGTGGAAGGTTTTGAGGAGCTTGGTTTTGGACATTTTAATTTTGAGGTGATTATTAGATATACAAGGAGATTGCTGAATAGGAAGAATATGCTTATCTAAGGGTCATGGAAGAGATGCAGACTGGAGCAGTTTGGGAATCTTCTTTGTAGCAGGCACTCAAAGTCATGAGGTAGGCTGAGGTCTCCAAGGGAGGAAATATATTTGAAAAAGAGAAGCACTACAAGAATACTGTAAAATTAAGAGGTCATGGGATTGGGATAGACTGCAAAGAAGCTGCGAGGGAGCAGTTTGAGGTAAGAGCAAAACTAAGAGAATGTGGTGACTTGTGAGAAAAACATTGCCAGGAAGAGGGAATGGTCTGCTGCTTTGATAGGCCAAGTGGATTGAGAACTGAGAAATGACCGTTAGATTTAGCAGATAGAGTTAATTGATAATCTCAACCATCTTGATGGACTGGTAAAAGTGAAAAAAGCATGATTAGGAGTGGGTTTCTCCTCTGAAGGAGGAGAATTAGCATAACTGTATACACTTCTGGGGAAGTTTTTCTATGAAGGGAAGAATAGAAATTAAGTTTGCAGATAAAAGATGTGAATTCAAGAGATTTTTTTAAAATAGAAATTATAGTACAGTTTGTATATTGATGATAAAGCACCAGTAAAGAAGGAAAAATATAATTAAAACAAAGCAAAAACCTAATTTGACATACTGATTCTACTTTTTAAAAAGCTTTTTAGGGCCAGCCTTGCTTAGTGGTTTAAGGAGCTTGGATCCCTCATGTATGTCGACTACAATCTCTAGAGCTTAACATCTTGGATCTGCCACATACTCTATGCATGTCACTTAATCGCTCTGTTTTGGTTTAATCACCTGTGAAATGGGGATATTGCCAACACCTACTTCACAAGATTGTTGTTGCAGTTAAATTACAACATAGGGTGAGCACGTATAACGATGCCTGGCTTATGATAATGAAAGCTAACACATACAGCACCTGCTGCTGTTATTCTAGTCAATTTATTTTATAGAATCATAAGCAGAAGTAATCTGAGAAAGCAGTATGTGAAATATTTGGAAAAGATGTTCCTCAATATGCGTATCCATAGGTGGTCCTATCGAGTAGGTCATGCTCATTCCCTGGCTAGTATACAAATTTTCTTGGGGCAGTCAAAGGTGTAGTTTTTTTGTTTGTTTGTTTTTGTTTTTAATAATTATTTTATTTAACTTTATTTATTTTATTTTGACCAGAGAGGGACTTAGTGAGAGAAAGAAAAAGGAGAATGAGAAAGCAAGCCAGCAGGTTCAGGACTTGAACCACAGTTGGTCATGTGGGAGTGCAGTGCCCTTAACCACTATGCCACTTGCTTGCCCTGATGCAGTTTGTTAAAATTGGTTCATTATGCTAGCATATGGAATCTGCCTCAGTCTTCCTCTAATGACACAAAAATGTAAAGAAATAGTCTTACAGACTATAATTTTCAGCAGTGAAAATTGTCCACTAATATACTTTCAACACTGAATTAAACTGTACCTTGAAGCATTTAAGACTCTTCTAGGCCTTAAATCTTAAACTCTTTGGGATCAATTCGTGATAATCTTGTCTTTAAAAAGGCTCCCTAATGTTACACACTGTTTTAGGGTCCGAGAGCTCCTGAAACTTCGAGTTAATTTTCAAAGTGAATGCATTGGACTGCACTTACCAGTTCTTTTACCAATGATTCTGTACAGTCAAGCATCTAGTATTCAATTTAGAAGGATGTTTAATTTATTAGTACTCATGATTCTTTAATGAAATACCTTTGTTTCATACTCTTTTCAGAATGCTATTTATTTTTTAACACTTTTTTTTTTTTAAATAACCTTCCCTCAAGGTATTCCCATCTGTCAGCAGCACTTAATTTGGAATAACATGGAACTTGAAGATGATAATTGCTTGAATGATTACAAGTGAGTGTGATTGCGCATTAGCTGTGTTATAGGCATTCAGTATTATGACTTCTGAATTGTCGGATCATGTCTCTTCATCTTCTGAATAGCTCTGATTCCTAGACTTTATTAAAAACCCTAAACTGTAGATGCCTTAGCTTGATACCCCCATACTATCTTATCTTTGTCCTCTGATACTTTTGTTTTACCTTTTCATTTTTCATGCCAAATTGTGTATCATTTTGTCTTCTTTACTGCTTTGAATATTGACCTATTTCCTCTATTAATAAATAAATAAATAAATAAAATTTTCTTTGATGGTACATGTGCTTGCCCGGTACTGAGGGTAGGGAGAGTGAGAAGACACTCTCAAAGGATGATGATCAAACCTCAGTTCCTTCTCCATTCTCCTCTTGGGATTTTGGGCACGCACACACACATGCCCAGAATGTTTTTCAAGCTGGCAGTCTGGGGCTCAGTTCACGTAGTTGGCCATGTAGGTTCCATCCAGTTTAACCACCATGCCACTGGTTGCCCCCCTTTTGTCTTTACACAAGAGTTTGGGTAAGAGAATTGGTCTAAACCAAGTCTTTCATTTCTCATTAAGCCAGTCTTCTGTTACTAAGTAGGTGACACTGTGTGCATCAGTGGTTATAAACATACTTTCTGACGTTTTGTCACTTTTTCCTTTCTCCCTCATTGTTGAAGAGAGGTATTGTGGAATAGCTGGAAGGGCATTGAGAGTCAGGAGACCTTGTTGATTTGCTATATTTCTATTATATTTTCTATTTTATTAAATAGATCTGCTATTTTCATTTTTTAAAATGCACATGCCCTCACTGGATAGGCAGAGAGAAAGTGAGAAATCACCCCCAAGGGAGATGGCCACACTACAATTTCTTCTCCTCCGTTCTCCTCTCGGGATTTTGGGCATGCGTGCATGTCCACACGCACACACACACCTGGAGTGAGTTTCAAGCTGCAGGATCCAGGAATCGAACTATAGTTCGCCCTGGGGAGTTCAGCGCCTCAACCACTATACCACCTGCCAGCCCCTAGATCTGCTCTTTTCTAACACTTTGGGTCTTAGGCAAGCCTTTTTTTCTTTTGTGGCCACCTTTTCTTTCTCTGTGAAAGGAACCACATGATCATAGTTGTCCTTCCTGTATTTAAGGCTTATGAGAACTTTTTTGACTGTTTCATTATTCATACAAGTAAATATGTTAATTTTTTTCTTCACACTCTTTTATCTTTTTTTATATTTTACAAAGTAGGCACTGTGTCTGATAAACCATATAATAATGTGTACATTTGACACTGTATTTTGATGATTATGATTTATTTTTGTGTTAACTACAGCATTTCAGAAGGTTGCACCTTGAAGCTAGTACTGGCTATGCGTGGCGGACCTATAAATACTAGAAAAGGTAGGTGTAGTATAATATATTAAAGCAATTTAACAATTATCATCTTCAAACATTTTAACAATTACATTCTTCAGGTCAGCTTAATGTTCTTATAGCCTCAGATTTTAGTCAGTTTTCCTTTCTCCTGTCAGGTCTTGGAAACATATTTTTTTTTTCCTCCACTAAGCATTGTTCTTTGAAACCCAAATGTGTAGAGGCTGAAACTTTAAAATAAATTTTAGAAAATCTCATTTAATTTAATTATTAAGCTTAATCAAATAAATTATTTAATTCAGGGACATTAAAAAATAAACTTCACTAGTACAGGGAAGGGAAATGGTATCACATAGTACAAATATTATATTGTTACTGTGTTTAGGTTCATATAAGGCTTGTTGCTTTTTATTTTTTTTAATCTACTGATTCTTCAGTTCTTTGGATAATAATTGTGCAAATTCCAAACTTGTCTGTCTACCTGGGGTTTTTTTTTGCACCTGGGATCCATTGAGGAACAACACTGTAACAACACTGTGGCACGCCTGTAATCTCAGCTCCCTGGGAGGCTGAGGCAGGAGGACCTCAAGGTTGAGGCCCACGTGGGCCCTCTTGAATCCTTTCTCATGATGTGAATTATCTCTGGAGTCCATTCATCATTCATTCAACAAGTACCTATTGAGCATCTTCTAGATATTCAGTGCAGTATTCCAAGTGCAGTAAACATGTGAGACCAAGTCCCTGCCTCGTGGCATTGCCTGTAGAAGGCTGGTAAAGAATTGGGTCAATTTCAGGTAGCTGTAAGTACTGTAGAGTTAACAGGATAAACTAAAAAGGAGAAGGATATTTGGAAGGGTCCTCAGAGAAGATGACATGAGCAGAGACAAGAAAGTTCTAAGTATGAGAGGAACTGGAACTGTTCATCCTGGTCCCTGAGTCAGGTATGTCACATGAATCCCCACTAAGAGGAGGTGACTACTCAGAGCATTCCTGTTCTGTAGACCTCATTTGGGGGAAGGCCTTCAGATTTGTTTAATCCTTCACTAACTTACTAACTAACAGGTGGAAGTAAACCAGCAGTAGGATCAATACTTACTCTTCAGTTTCAGGTTTAAAATGTTAAATATTAGGTCAGAAAAGTCATGATGCATTTTTGCATTACAAAAACAACAGAAAAATACATCATGACTTTTTTGATGACCAAATATAAAAAAAGAAGTTCTAGTTGCTGATTTTTAAATTCACAAAAAAGATACAGAAAGTTACAGCAAGAAACTATTACAAAGCTTTTACTACAAAGCTTGAACAACCAGAGGGTAAGTGATAACTTTCATTTTTATTTTAAAAAAGAGAAGTGAAATTTACATACACATATATTTAACTCAGAATCTGTAGCATTTATTCTCCTTCTCATAAACATTTAAAATTATTTCAGTCCTAGTGAAAAATCTTAGCATTCTGATTAAATATTGTGGCTTAAAGACAATACTACACACATTATAAAAAAATGTTGGGTGGTCAGGAAAGTCAAGATGCATTTTCTCATTGAAAAACAAAAAAACAGGACATGACTTTCCTGACAACCCTATCCAATGGGGTTTACATGCCATTTAATAATATATAATTCTATCTTAACATAATGGCTGAGTCAACATTTAGGATTCTTTTACTAACTTCAGAGTTGTTGCTATAAACATTACCTTATGTCTGGGACCAGCAGTTAGTGTAATTTCTATCGCTGGACTCCCATGTAGTCGACCGCGGTTTGCGTCCTGGACCCAGTGGCTTAAAACTCACGCCGGGCGCATGTGCGTGCATGCTCAAGATCCTGAGAGGAGACCGGAGGAGAAGGGATTGTGGCGTGGCCATCCCCCCGGGGGGTGATTTCTTGCTTTTGTCTCTCTTGTCTCTCTCTGTCTGGTGAGCACACGCTCCCTATAGCGAAAATCTCTCAAAAAAAAACAAACCAAAACAAAACATTACCTTATGTCACATAGTACAACTTCATAAGTCCAATTAATAAATAAGTCTCTGACATTAAGAATGCTAGTTAAGCGGCCAGCAGATGGCGTGGTGAAGGCTCTGGACTCCCACATGGTTCATTGCAGTTCAAGTCCTGGACCTGGCAGTTTGAAAATCACACCAGGCACATGTGCATGCATGCCCAAAATGCCAGGAGGAGACTGGTATATTAGTATATAATACTAGTATACTATTGGTACTAATGGTATACTAGTATATAGTATATAATAATCATATATAGTATATGTAATAGTATATTATACAAGGGATTGTGGTATGGCTATCCACCTTGGGGGGTGATTTTTCACTTTCCCCCTCTCTAGCAAGTGCACGCACCCTATGGCAAAATGTATAAAAAGAAATAAAAGAATGTTAGTTAATTGACTCTAACATTATTACCTTTATTTTCTATAATCTTTGTAAATTAGTTCAATAGCCAAAGTATTATATCTTGCAAAATCTTGGGATAGCTAAGAAAAAGATGATAATAATTCTATTTTCTAAACAAAATAATAAAGCCCACACAGCCTCAGTCACCTCACAACAGTGCCCTCCTGCACACTCATGCCACCACAGCTGGGCCTATTGATTTTCTTTCTTTCTCTTTTTTTTGGAGAGGTTTTTGCTATCGGGTGCGTGCGCTCACCAGACAGACAGACAGAGAGAGACAGAGAGACAGAAAGCGAGAAATCACCCCCGCCAGGGGGGATGGTGACGCCACAATCCCTTCTCCTCCATTCTCCTCTCGGGATCTTGGGCACGCACGCACACGCGTCCAGCGTGAGTTTTAAGCCACCGGGTCCGGGACGCGAACCGCAGTCGACTATGTGGGAGTCCAGCGACATAGCCATTACGCTAACTGCTGGTTCCCTTGATTTTATTTCTTATTACTGTGGAAAGTGGAGCATTAACTTAAAATAGGACAGGAATTTATTTAAAAAAACATCTTTTGATTTACATGTTTTATTTCTGTGAAAGAGTCCATTAAAGCATTCAAATAATTAAGTTAAATCTTATTTCTAAGAGTTTTATGTTTTAAGTAGTAATGGTATTGAATTTAAGATATTAGAACATCTTTGATATTTTTATTTTATTACTTTCAGAGTTTAATATTTTCCTCTTGCCTCAATGCAATATTTTCCTCTTGTTGCAATTTTTATTTATTCATTTATTTTGAAACAGGTTCTCTCTAGATTGCTCATGCAGGCCTCAAAGTTGAGATCTTCCTACCTCAGCCTTCCAAGTAGCTGAGAAGACAGGCATGTGCCCAGTGTTGTTACAGCTTCTTCTTAAAGTATTTGTACAGCACTGTGATTCTTTCAATAAATAAATAAGTGGAAGTTAGGCAGCTTGGAAAATTGTTGCCTTTTTTAGGAGAAGCAAATGTTTAGGCCACATGACATGAGAACAGCTTTGGGAGCAAACTTTCTTTTCTTTCCTGGAACTGTTATTTAGACTACTAAATCTGAGGGTTAGTGGCTTCTGGAATATTTTGAAAATCACACCAGGCACATGTGCATGCATGCCCAAAATGCCAGGAGGAGACTGGTATATTAGTATATAATACTAGTATACTATTGGTACTAATGGTATACTAGTATATAGTATATAATAATCATATATAGTATATGTAATAGTATATTATACAAGGGATTGTGGTATGGCTATCCACCTTGGGGGGTGATTTTTCACTTTCCCCCTCTCTAGCAAGTGCACGCACCCTATGGCAAAATGTATAAAAAGAAATAAAAGAATGTTAGTTAATTGACTCTAACATTATTACCTTTATTTTCTATAATCTTTGTAAATTAGTTCAATAGCCAAAGTATTATATCTTGCAAAATCTTGGGATAGCTAAGAAAAAGATGATAATAATTCTATTTTCTAAACAAAATAATAAAGCCCACACAGCCTCAGTCACCTCACAACAGTGCCCTCCTGCACACTCATGCCACCACAGCTGGGCCTATTGATTTTCTTTCTTTCTCTTTTTTTTGGAGAGGTTTTTGCTATCGGGTGCGTGCGCTCACCAGACAGACAGACAGAGAGAGACAGAGAGACAGAAAGCGAGAAATCACCCCCGCCAGGGGGGATGGTGACGCCACAATCCCTTCTCCTCCATTCTCCTCTCGGGATCTTGGGCACGCACGCACACGCGTCCAGCGTGAGTTTTAAGCCCCCGGGTCCGGGACGCGAACCGCAGTCGACTATGTGGGAGTCCAGCGACATAGCCATTACGCTAACTGCTGGTTCCCTTGATTTTATTTCTTATTACTGTGGAAAGTGGAGCATTAACTTAAAATAGGACAGGAATTTATTTAAAAAAACATCTTTTGATTTACATGTTTTATTTCTGTGAAAGAGTCCATTAAAGCATTCAAATAATTAAGTTAAATCTTATTTCTAAGAGTTTTATGTTTTAAGTAGTAATGGTATTGAATTTAAGATATTAGAACATCTTTGATATTTTTATTTTATTACTTTCAGAGTTTAATATTTTCCTCTTGCCTCAATGCAATATTTTCCTCTTGTTGCAATTTTTATTTATTCATTTATTTTGAAACAGGTTCTCTCTAGATTGCTCATGCAGGCCTCAAAGTTGAGATCTTCCTACCTCAGCCTTCCAAGTAGCTGAGAAGACAGGCATGTGCCCAGTGTTGTTACAGCTTCTTCTTAAAGTATTTGTACAGCACTGTGATTCTTTCAATAAATAAATAAGTGGAAGTTAGGCAGCTTGGAAAATTGTTGCCTTTTTTAGGAGAAGCAAATGTTTAGGCCACATGACATGAGAACAGCTTTGGGAGCAAACTTTCTTTTCTTTCCTGGAACTGTTATTTAGACTACTAAATCTGAGGGTTAGTGGCTTCTGGAATATCTATTCTATGAGCAATCTCATGAGACCTATTCCCCCCACAGGCGTAAAATTTTTGGCTGCGTGGATGAGCATACTGTAATGATAGTTCAGTATAAATCAAACCTGAGGACAACTCCAGGCCACCAGAGCCCACCAGTAGACCAGTACAGGGGTGGGGAGTGTGTGTCAGGTAGCCCCAGTCACCCTGTGTACTTCGTGTATTCCGACAGAACAAATGGATACCTACCAGGACAGTTGGGCAGCTGTGTTCAAGAAACAATGTATTGACCATTTCACACATTGTGGTTTTAGTGCACTAAGAGGTCTCCTTGTCTTCTGAGTTATGGGTACTTTTAATTACCTAAAGCACGTGAAAGAGCAACTCTAAGAAGAATGAGCTTTCACATAAAAACCAGAAAAAGAGAGTTACTTGCTTCCGATTTTTTACATATGTATCCCAATTGTGTCTGTGTGTGTATACACACGTTCATTTTTGTTCGAAAGTGAGTGGGATTTGTGTTGCTTTTTAATTATTGACTGTTTAGAGCCAATGTTTGAAAATATTGGAAGAGGTATGTAGTGAAAATAATAGATAATAATGTCATAAAATTAGCAAGTATACAGACTCTAATGTCATGGGGAAAAAAATCCTCATGTTTTAGTTAACACAGCAACATAATGAGGCAGTTTTGTTTCATTCATGTTAATACAATAGCGAATGCTATATTAACTATAAAAAGATCAGAAACCTAGTTGAAGATACCGTATATTTACAAGCACAGGGTGATTGTTCAGTCCACATTCAGCACGTTTTGTCCTGTCACTGTACTGATGCGTTAGACTTGATATGAATTTAAAGCTTGTTTATTGATGTTTTCATTTGTAGTTCCTATGGAAGACCCGCTTAGAGAGATGGCTGAGTTCATGGATCACAGTCGAGATGAGGGTTGGGAGAAGACCTGCAACAAACAAGTGACCTTTCTGGTGTACCGAGAAGGAGATCAGTTGAATTTCTTTCGTGTAGTAGATAGGGGAGATGGCACTTTAACACCATTATCTGAATCTTTAAGGTAAATAGGTTTTCATTTGCATGCCTCACTTAGTAAAGGAGAATTATGTTTACCTTACATTACCAAAAAAATCTTAGTTTATTACCAAGACTAACTAGATTTCATGCATCTCTTCTCTACCCCACCACTCAATGTAATTCTGTGATTGTTCTTCAAATGACAGTTACTTGGAGTAATTTCTAGAACTGGAATTTCTTTACAGAGTAGGATTTTTTCATAAGAAAAAGATTCATTGCTGCTACTTCTTGAAACTCTGAGATACATACTAATTGCCTTATTATAATAGTATATTATACAAGTTTAGCATAAGAGGAAGGATTAAACCTAAAGTTAGTGTCTTTTCAAAATTTAATTCTTTTTTTTTTTTTTTTTTGGAGAAGTTTTTGCTGTAGGGTGCGTGCACTCGCCAGAAAGACAGAGAGAGACAGAGAGACAGAAAGTGAGAAGTCACCCCCCCCGGGGGGAGGGCTATGCTGCAATCCGTTCTCCTCCATTCTCCTCTCAGGATCTTGGGCACGCATGCACACGTACCTGGCGTGAGTTTAAGCCACTGGGTCTGAAACTTGACCCACAGTCGACTATGTGGAAGTCTAGCGACATAGCCATTACGCCAACTGCTGGTCCTCAAAATTTAATTCTGCTTAAAGGTGGATACGTCTCGGGACCAGCAGTTAGTGTAATGGCTATGCCGCTAGACTTCCACATAGTCGACTGTGGGTCAAGTTTCAGACCCAGTGGCTTAAACTCACGCCAGGTACGTGTGCATGCGTGCCCAAGATCCTGAGAGGAGAATGGAGGAGAAGGGATTGCGGCGTGGCCATCCCCCCTGGGGGGTGATTTCTTGCTTTCTGTCTCTCTGTCTCTCTCTGTCTGGCTGGCGAGCGCATGTGCCCTATAGCAAAAACCTATTTAAAAAAAAAAGTGGATACGTCTCTTCTCTGGTTTTGTTTTTCCTGCTCTATAAAAGGGAAATTGCAATGTTACTTCTAAACTCAAAAAGAAAAACTCTACAGATATTTAGCCAAGCGATAGAAAAACAAGGGAATTCCACAAAGTAACCTCTAGGTTTTGCTTTCTGACTTACTACGATTCTTAATCTCCTTTCACTTAAAGTCATTAACTGTTTACTTAAGTTTTAGGACAGTCACTAAGCTCGGCGCTGGTATTACAAAGATTGTTTCCCTACCTTCGTGGGCATGCACTCTGCTCTAAGTGTTATCTATGATAAAATACCAGTTACCTTTATAAAAAGATATCAAAGGCTAGCTCCATGGCTTAGCAGTAATGTGCTTCCTAGGAGGAGCCAGATCCCACGTGCTGTCTGTGGTCCAGATCCCCAGTTCAGTCAGCCTGCAGTGCACCAGGCATGCACTCGAGTGTCCATGAGCTGAGGACCTGGAGGAAGAGTGTTATGGGATGACCGGACCTTTGGAAGATGCTCCTCTCTCTCTCTCAAACACACACATATACATGTGTTCTGTCAGGAGTAAAGAACAGAAAAACATTTTTAAAGTATCAAAATGTTTGAGAAAACAGATGAGAGGCTCTTTGTTTTACCTGAAAGGAACAGAGTTAGGGACAACCTCTGAGATGAAGTAACCTTAAAAGAGGAGTAGCAGTTTGCCGAGGAGACAAGGGAAAGGTGTTACAGGTAATTAAAGTTAATTCTAAGAAAGCAAAAGCTAGTGGTAAAATCAAAGGAAAAAACAACCAGTACCCTGGGGAGCAGTTTCTGGGGTGAAGAGTTTGGGCACAGTGTAGCCGAATGCTCCGTTCAGGGTCCCTCAAGGCTGTAGTTAAGGTACGTTCTTATCTGAGGCTTGACTGAGGGAGAGGATCTTTTCAGTACAGTCACCGTGTCATCAGAATTGATTTCTTTTCAGTTATATGACAATTTGTTTCTGACTATGGGATTGACACTCCCCTCAGCTCTCTTTTAATTAACTGATTTGGAGCCTAAACAGTATCTGCCAAGTCCCTTCTCCTTTGCCGTACTCAGATGGCTAGAAGCCTCTGAAGCCGTCTGTAGTCACGGCTGCACTCCCAGGCAGAAGACTGCACAGGTCTGAACCAGGGGTTGCACGTCACCGGATTCCTTTGCGGTTCTTTTCAGGATACAGCGTTACACGAAAGAAAGATTAGACTCATTTATTTTATTTTATTATTTTTTTTTTTTATTTTTTATTTGAGAGGTTTTCGCTATAGGGCACGTGTGCTCGCCAGACAGACAGAGAGACATAGAGACAGAAAGCGAGAAATCACCCCCCAGGGGGGATGGTCAAGCCACAATCCCTTCTCCTCCATTCTCATCTCGGGATCTTGGGCACGCACGCACACGTGCTCAGCGTGAGTTTTAAGCCACCGGGTCCGGGATGTGAACTACGGTCGACTACGTGGGAGTACAGCGTCATAGCCATAACGCTAACTGCTGGTTCCCTAGACTCATTTATTTTTATGGCCACACAGAGCAGACCGTGACAGACAGGTTTTGACTGTCGACTCTCACAGATCTGGTTATCACTACAAACTTGGTGTAGACACGTGGGCCGGGAGGAGAGAAGAGGTAGCGGAGAGGACTGCAGGCTTGGACGGCGGCAGGAATTCCTTCCTACCAGTTTCTCCATGTGTCTGCTCCTTCCCTCAGGAGATGTAAGATCCTCAGATTAGCATGTGAGGCCCTTTAGAAACTCATCATTGATTTTCCAGATTTTGTCATTATAACATGTTGTGTATACCTTTTGCCTTCTGATTGAAATTTCATTTTCCCCCTTATTCCTGTTTTCTCCCCTTCAGCTTCTGTTTGTATTTGTGACTTAGCCTAAATGCTGTCATAGAGGTCAGTTAAAATTGTGTTATTGTGGAACCAGCAGTTAGTGTAATGGCTATGTCGCTGGACTCCCATATAGTAGACTGCGGTTCACGTCCCAGACCCAGTGGCTTAAAACTCACGCCAGGCACGTGTGTATGCATGCCCAAGATCCCGAGAGGAGAATGTAGGAGAAGGGATTGCGGCGTGGCCATCCCCCCTGGGGGGTGATTTCTCACTTTCTGTCTCTCTGTCTCTCTCTGTCTGGCGAGCGCATGTGCCCTATAGCAAAAACCTCTCCAAAAAAAAAAAAAATGGTGTTATTGTTCCTTGAGATAAGTTTTTGCTTATTTTTCTATTTTCTATTTATCTACTATAATTGGACAAGAAAAGGTATGGGTGGGTAAGAAAGGGGAATAGAAAAACATCTAGTCATACCTTGAAGGACACTGATCTCACCTGCCGTGGAAGAGGTTGTCTTACTATACAGCAGAGGGTAGCAAACTTTTTAGTGAAAGTCCAGATGGTAACTATTTTAAGATTTTCAGGCTAAGAAGCAAAATGAAGGATACAAGTTGAGCATCCCTAACATAAACATATAAGTCCAAATGGCTTCAGAGTCTGAAGCTTTCTGAGTGCCTACATGATGCCGCAGTGGGACAATTCACCTGGCCTCGTGTGATGGGTCTTAGTTAAAAACACTGAAATAGAGGATCGTGCCGGTGGTTTGTCAGTAACATGCCACTCAAGTGACGCTGAATCCATATGGAAGATTGTGGGTTCAGTTCCTCAGCTGACTTGTAATACTAGGCACACACATCTGTAGTTGTGGCCACCTGGCAAGGCCAGAGATGGCGAGAGTAGTGCAAGACCCTTAAGGGAGCTTGTCTGTCTTTCTCCCTCTCTCACACTCTTTCTCTTACTCTCATGGAGAAAAAAAAAAAATTAGGGGCCAGCAGATGGTGTAATGGTTATGTTGCTGGACTCCTACATAGTCAAGCATGGTTTGAGTCCTGGACCTGGTGACTTAGAAAACATGCTGGGCACATGTGCATGTGTGTGTAAAATCCCGAGAGGATTTGTGGCATGACCATCCCCCAGGGGGTGATTTCTCACTTTCTGTCTCTCTTCTCTCCTATAAGTGCATGCGCCCCATGGCAAAAATCTCTCTTTTAAAAAAAGCGAAAGACTTTGAAAAAAGCTGCAGTATATAAACATTACATAAAATTATTGACCTTCATGTTATAAGGCATATATGAAACATAAATGAACTTTGTGTTTAGACTTAGGGTCCAGTCCCAGATATCTCATTATGTATATTGCAAGTATTATAAAAGCTGAAAAAAATCTCAAATTTAAAACACTTTTAGTTCTAAGCATTTTCATAGTGTAAAAGTAGCCATAGGTAAACATGATCAAGTGAGCATGGTTGTGTTCCAGCAAAACTTTATTATGACACAAATATTGTGTGTGATCTCAAAAAAATATTGCCAGAGGGCATGTGCATTTGCCAGAGAGAAAGCACCCCCATTGAGGTGTGCTCACACCACCATCCCTCTTCCTTTATTTCTCCATTTTGCCAGAATTTGGGACACATATGCACATGCATGTGGCAAGTCCCTCAAGCCTCTGGGGCCAGGACTCAAACTGTGTTGGATCGTGTGGGATCCGGATCCCTTAATCCCTGACCTCAGGCCCCAGCCCTGTATAATTTGTGTGTGTTACAAAATACTATGATTTGTTTAAACTATGTAAATGTTTAAAAAACTATTCTTAAGTTAAGGGCCACACAAAAATAGGAGGCAGGCCAGATTTAACCCATATCCATAGTTTGCTGGCTCTTGCTCTAAGAAGAAAAACGGAGAACTGGGTGTTTATGTGGTTCACTCTGATACAAAATATAGCATTAGTCTTTTCTAGTCTCAAATGTTTTTAGTAAATCATGCCATCTTAATTTTTTTAAGGATTATTTATTCAATTTTACTTATCATTATTTTTTAAATTTGGTACAGGGTGTGTGTGCTCAACAGAGAAAGAGAGAAAGAGAAATTGAGGAAGCAAGATGCCAGGTCCAGGACTTGAACTATGATCGGCCATGTGGGAGTTCAATGCCTTAATCACCACACCACCTCTTGGCTCCATCTTACTGTTTTTTTTTAAATGGAAAGAAATAAAAGGAGACATTGCAAGACTTAAATGGTAACTTCTCTGTGAAAGTCAAAGGAAATCTTGGCTTTGGGGTGGACAATATTTGTGTTGGAATAAATATTACATTTTCCCATCTCTCATTTTTTAATAATATTATTAAACTAAAAGATATAAAGAAAGCTCAATTTAGCACTCAAGAAAATATTTAGATATTCAAGAAAATATGAGAATATCTAAGTATACAAATACATTTTTGGACTAAATATATAAATTACTTTATTCTATTCTAGTTGTTAAATAATACATTTGTTCCATCTGTAAAAATATTATGATTGATTTTTAACTGATTTTAAGAATCTGTGCTTTGTGAGTGAAAACACAATAATGTGATTTCTTTGAGACAAAAATTAGATGAAGTTAAAAGTTTTCTTGGGGAACCAGTAGTTAGCGTAATGGCTATGTCGCTGGATTCCCACGTAGTTGACTGCGGTTCGCGTCCCGGACCCGGTGCCTTAAAACTCACGCCGGGCACATGTGCGTGCGTGCCCAAGATCCTGAGAGGAGAATGGAGGAGAAGGGATTGTGGCGTGATCATTTCCCCTGGGGGGTGATTTCTCGCTTTCTGTCTCTATGTCTCTCTCTGGCTGGCTGGCAAGCGCATGCGCCCTATAGCAAAAATCTCTCCAAAAAAAAAAAAAGGTATAGGGCGCATGTGCTCGCCAGAAAGAGACAGAGAGCGAGAAATCACCCCCCCCCCATGGGGGATGGCCATGCCGCAATCCTTTCTTCTCCATTCTCCTCTCAGGATCTTAGGCACGCATGCACACATGCCAGGCATGAGTTTAAGCCACTGGGTCCGGGACTCATAAACTGCAGTCGACTATATGGGAGTCCAGTGACAGCCATTATGCTGGTCCCCAAAAGTCTTTTTTACTCTAAAATGCATCCAATGAAATATTCATGATTGTCCCTTTTTATATTTATGAGAGGTCTTCAGAAAGTTCATGGGAAATGCATATTATGAAAACATTATGCCTGGATTTAAATTATATTTTTATATCTAAATATAACTCCATTTTCCCATGAACTTTTTGAAGTCTCCTTGTATATCCCATGAAACCATAGATAAAGATCTGTTGAATTGAATCAGTATTTTAGTCCATTATTCCATTGGTAACAGAAATACTTGAGACTGGGTAAATGATAAAGAAATAGAAGCAGTAACCCACAGCTCTGGTAGCTGAGAGTCCACAGGCATCACAGAATGGTAGGAGCAGAGCCTTTAGCAGAGGTGGTCTGTATCCACGTGGACTGCACTGGTTCTGGTCTTACGTTCTCTGCTCATATGCCTGCCATGCTTGTCATAGAGTTCCACCCTGATGACACTGTCACACCCAAAGGTGTCAGCCTGAAACACCATGAAGGAATTAAGTTTTGACTTAATGCCTTACCATATAATCACGTCCCAGCACATGTATTTCTGGGTGACAGCCAGTCACTACCCACTGAGACTGTACTCCAAAACATGAAATTTGGGGGACAAACCATGATCCACACAGTAACAGTCAGAAAGTGACAAAAACCTTCGCATAACTTTACTTTTCAGGTATAGTGACCTCGAGGCAAAGCTGCACTCTGGAAGTTCTGTCACTCGCTTGGGTTCTCAGGTGTGAAGTAGTAAGGCCTGTTGTTTGGTGCCTGGCGAAGCAGCAGGAAGTTCATAGTAGAAAGAATCAGCTTTGGGACCGGCAGATGGAGGTCCACCTCCACTGGCTTTCTGGCCTTGGGCCAGATCATTTAATCACCGCAACTGCAGTTTCTTCATCTGTAAAGCAGGGTAGGGGAGCATCTGCCTGATATAGTTTGTGTTCAGCACTGTGTGCAGACAGCGTCTGGCAGAGGAGGCGTTTGGGAAGCAGCAGTGTGCAGGGTGACTACTCAGGGCTGTGCTGTTGTGTCCCGAGCACACTGCCTTACAGTGGGTAGCAGGGATCGTCACAGATAGTGTGACACACTGCACTGGTTGTCGAGACAAGTTCCTGTGTTTCTCCTTTAATGCTGACAGTGAACTCCACACGTGGAGCTCTCTCCCCCACCACCCTTCTCCTCTGAGATGTGGCTGCTAGCCTAGCTAAACCTTATTAACCCCTCGTGACCGTTTCTTTATCTCATAAAACTGGCCTGTGGCCCCGGCCGTTCCAAGAGACGTCTCTCACCTCTCCCACAGTTAACATCACAAGACTAAAAACACCAAACCCCAGACATACCCTGCAGACTCTGTTCATTGATAAGCTGATCTGATATTAGAACCCCTAAACAATGTGTCTTTACTTAATTTATGGCCACTTCGTTCGGAACATAGAAAACCTGAGCCTGTATTTGCTGACACATGGACCATTCTTCACGCGGCCGTCAGTGGGCCTTCCCTAATAAGTAAACTCATGTCTTTATTAAACCTCTGAATGTCACCCCTAAGATTTGGAGGCTTCTAAAACAGATATGCCTGAGGTGTGTGTAATTAACCCACAACTTTAATGTTGTCTAATGCCACCATAGAAGGTTTAGGAATAGGGCTACAACCCTCTGTCCCCCCCCCCCAGGCCTGGGGTGGGGGCAAGGTCCTTTAGAAA